GTCTTAAAAAAAAAAAAAAAAAAGAAAAGAAAAGAAAGAAAGGAGAGAGAAAACAGCAAAAGATAAGGAAGCCTTGCCTTAAAGTCCACCTTTGCCTTAAGGTCTTCATGTGTAAAATGGGAATAAAGGCTTTTGGCTGTGCCGTAACTACCCTGAAAGGTTGCTATGGAAATGTAACATTAGGCACGATTTGGTCCTGATTCTACACTAACCTTTATCTTTCTCTTTATGACCATAAAACTTCCCCGACGAGACTCTAAAATGCCCAAATCGGGAGTCATTGGTGGACTGCACCCATCGGTTTCTCCAGTGCTCTGTCGGGAGGGGAAATAACACCGGTTAGAGCTGATAACTGTTCATTTGCGTCCAGGGAAGGGTTCGCTGACATCGACCCCGCGGCGACTCTGGCCAGCCGTAGCGGGGCGGAGATAGGGGAGCTTACACCCTTGCCACCACGGGCGTCACCCCTTCACCTCCGTCTAGAAATTCTTCTTGGAAATAAACGGTAGCCAGCGTCACCCGCAGCATGCAGATGGCCCAGAGTGGGACCCGAGCCACGGCCATGGCGGCGTGCACTGAGCTTCCTGTCGTTGCCGCCCCTTCGCTTCCGGCGGTCTCTGCGGCTATCCAGGCGAGCCCGGAAACTACCATTCCTGTCACGCTTCGCGATTATGACCTGAGGTCTCATAGGTCGCTGCGGCGCGGGGCCCGTCGGGCCCGTCACGGAACTACCACTCCCATGATGCCCCGCGATTGTGATTCGGGGCGCCATTGGTCCCCGGGACGCGGTGCTTCCCGGGAGGTGTAGTCCCTTCTGGCTCTGTTGCCTAGGGCAACCGCTCCCTCAGGCCTGAATGTGGCGGCGGTTTCTGCGAATGGACACCCTTGGGAGGAGGTCGGCAGGGCTGGTGGGGAGGTGACGCGGCTGAGCGCACTGGCTCGCGAGACGAGATACGGGGAAATCGGGCGTGCTCTGGGGCTGAGCTGGTCGGGCGGCTGAGCTGGTCGGGCGGTTTCCCTGTCTGGGGTCTGTTGAGTCCGGTGCGGGTCGCTTCATAGCAGGGGAGAAGAGCAGGATGGTGTGAGGGACCCCAGGGTTTTCAAATTTTGGTTTGTTGATTTTTAACAACTTTATTGAGCTACCATTTACATACCATAGTGTTCGCCACTTTTAAGCTGACGACTCGGTTATTTTTAGTAAATCTTCAAAGTTGTGAAGCCTTCGCCACCATTCAGCTCATCCAGCTTTAGAACTCTGCATCAGGCCGGGCGCGGTGGCTCGTGCCTGGAATCCCAGCACTTTGAGAGGCAGAGGCGGGAGCATCCCTTGAGGCCAGGAGATTCAGAGTAGCCTGGGCAACATGGCGAGACCCCATCTCTAAAAAAGATAAAAATAAATAATTTGCCAGGTGCAGTGGCACGTGCCTATAGTCCCAGCTACTCGGGATGTTGAGGCGGGAGGGAGGATTGCTTGTGTCTAGGAGGTCAAGGCTGCAGTGAGCTGTGATCATGCCACTGCCCTCCAATCTGGGTGGCAGGGCGAGACCCCTACTCAAAACAAAACAAAACAAAACAAACAAAAAACAAAACTAAACTTTCCATTACCCAAAGAGATTCCTTCGTTCCTTTGCAGTCTGTCCTCACTCACACCCACAGTTCCAGGGAACCGCTCATCTGCCTTCTTTTTTTTGTTTGTTTGAGGTCTCACTCTGCCGCCCAGGCTAGAGTGCAGTGGCGTGATCTGGGCTCACCGCAACCTCCGTCTCCCGGGTTCAAGGATTCTCCTGCCTCAGCCTCCTGAGTAGCTGGGATTACAGGCGCACACCACCATGCTCAGCTAATCTTTGTATTTTTAGTAGACACGGCGTTTCACCGTGTTTGCCAGGGCTGGTCTTCAACTCCTGACCCCAGGTGATCTGCCAGCCTCAGCCTTCCAAAGTGTTGGGATTACAGCCACTGCGCCGGCCCAATCTGCTTTCTGAGTTTATTGGCTTGTCTTTTCTGGACAGTTCTTAAAAATGAAATCATAGGGTGTGCGGAGTTAGTGTCTGGCTGCTTTGCCTTAGTATGACATATTTGAGATTCGTGCATGCTGTTATATTAGTATTTGTCTTTTTTAAATTGCTGAACAGTATTCCACTGTATGGATGGACTGTAGTTTGTAATCCATTTCACTAATTAATAGACATTTACACTGGTTCCCCTTTTAGTCTAATAGGAGTAGTAAGTATTATGGGGCCAGGTGTGGTGATCCGGGACTGTAATCCCAGCACTTTGGGAGGCTGAGGCTGGTGGATCCTAAGAACCGCGGAAGTGGAGAACAGCCTGGGCAACACAGTGAGACCTTGTGTCTGCAAAAAGTTAGCCAGGCATGGCGATGTGTGTCTGTAGTCACAGCTACCCAGGAGGCTGAGGTGGGAGGATCGCGTGACCCTGGGAAGTTGAGGCTGTAGTGAGCCATGATTGCACCACTGCATTGCAGCCTGGGCAACAGTGTGAGAAACTGTCTCAAAAAAACAAAATAAAACTGTTATGAACATTTACATACATGTTCATTTCTGTTGGGCCATGTAGGAGTGTAATTCCTGGGTCATATGGTAATTCTGTGTCTAACCTTTTGAGGAACTAACTGTTCTCCACACTGGGGACTGTATCATTTTACAATTTCCCAAACAACATCTCTTTTTTTTTTTTTGAAACAGGGTTGGCCAGGCGTGGTGGCTCACGCCTGTAATACCAGTACTTTGGGAGGCTGAGGCGGGTGGTTTACAACGTCAGGAGTTCAAGTCCAGCCTGGCCAAGATGGTGAAACCCTGTCTCTACTAAAACTACAAAAATTTGCCAGGCACAGTGGCGGGTACCTGTAATCCCAGCTACTTGGGAGGCTGAGGCAGGAGAATCACTTGGGCTTGGGCAGCAGAGGCTGCAGTGAGCTGAGACTACTATACTCCAGCCTGGGCATCAGAGTGAGATTTGGTCTTAAAAAAAAAAAAAAAAAGAAAGAAACAGGTTCTTGCCCTGTCATCCAGGCTGGGTGCAGTGGCACAATCAGGGCTCACTGCAGCCTCAAACTCCTGGGCTCAAGCAATCCTCCCACCTCAGCCTCTCGAGTAACTGGGACTAGATGTGTGTGCCACCAAACCCAGCTAATTTTTAAATTTTTTGTAGAGATGGGGTCTACCTATGTTGCCCAGGCTGGTCTTGAACTCTTGGGCTCAAGTGATCCTCCTGTCTTGGCCTCCCAAAATACTGGGATTATAGGCCTGAGCCACTGTGGGCTTCAATCTCTTCACTTCCTCGGCGACACTTGTTATGTGTATTTTTGATTATAGTCACCCTCGGGAATGTGAAGTAGTAGCTCCTCATGTTTTTTTTCTTTTCTTTCTTTTTTTTGAGACGGAGTCCCACTCTGTCATCCGGCTAGAGTGCAGTGGTATGATCCTGGCTCACTGCAACCTCCGCCTCCTGGGTTCAAGCAGTTCTTTTACCTCGCCTCGAGAGTAGCTGGGATTACAGCCATGCGCCCCACCATGCCCTACTAATTTTTGTATTTTTAGTAGAGACAGGGTTTCACCATGTTGGCGAGGCTGGTCTCGAACTCCTGACCTCGGGATGTGCCCACCTAGGCTTCCCAAAGTGCTGGGATTAAGGCGTGAGCCACCACGCCCAGCCACTCCTCGTGGTTTTGATTTGCATCTCTGTAATGACTAGTGACATTGAACAGCTTTTCATATGCTTATTAGTTTTTTTTTTAAGATGGGGTTTCACCATGTTGCTCAGGCTGGTCTTGAACTCCCGACCTCAGGTGATTCGCCCACCTTGGCCTCCAAAGTGCTTGGATTACAGGCGTGAGCCACTACGCCCGGCTGCTTATTAGTTATTTATATGTATTTTTTGCGTATTCAGAGTATCTGTTCACATCTTTTGCCCATTGGTTTATTTTATTTTATTTTGAGTTTTGCTATTGTTGCTCGGGCTGGAATGCAATGGCACGATCCTGGCTCACCGCAACTTCTGCCTCCTGGGTTCAAGCGATTCTCCTGCCTCAGCCTCCTGAGTAGCTGGGATTACAGGCATGCGCCACCACATCTGGCTAATTTTATATTTTTAGTAGAGATGGGGTTTCTCCACATTAGCCAGGCTGGTCTTGAACTCCTGACTTTGGGTGATCTGCCGGCCTCAGCCTCCCAAAATGCTGGCATGAGCCACAGTGCCTGGCTGCCCACTGGTTTATTATAACTGTTGTGTTTTAAATATACATATATAATTTTAGTTGTAGTAAAATATAGTGTCAAATTTGCCTTTTTAACCATTTTTTCATTGGCTTAATTTGGAACCCAAGGAAACTTCTAGAAGAACTAAATGGCAGAAAATCTGGCCTGATGGTCAGGTCTTCCTTCTGACTCATAGAATGACCCAGGCTGAGCCATCTCCTGAGCCTTGGCTACAGATATTAACAGAGAGTTGTTGACGTTCTCCTGGCACTGTGTGTGTGTAAAGCAACGTGCTAGGGACCTTAATTATCTTGTCCTTCCAGCTAAAGGTAACCCATTATGCAAGTGGTCCAGATACTGCCATTACTGCTTTTTTTTTTTTTTTTTTTTTTGAGACAGAGTCTTCCTCTGTTGCCCAGGTTGGCTTACAGTGGTGTAATTTTGGCTCACTGCAGCCTCCACCTCCTGGGTCAAGCAGTTCTCCTGTTTCAGCCTCCTAAGTAGCTGGGACTGTAGGTGCCTGTCACCATGCCCAGCTAATTGTTTTATTATTGTTATTTTTTAGTAGAGACAGGGTTTTGCCATGTTGGCCAGGCTGGTCTCGAACTCCTGACCTCAAGTGCTCCACCTGCCTTGGCCTCCCAAAATGCTGGGATTATAAGCGTGAGCCACCGCACCTAGCCCTTACTGCCATTTAAATGTTACTGAGCACTTTTGCACGTCCCACTCGGAATATATAGGAATCTTATGAGAGTAATAGTTACTATTTATTTATTTATAGACGGAGTCTCACTCTGTCACCAGGCTGGAGTGCAGTGGCGCGATCTTGGCTTACTGCAACCTCCACCTCCTGGGTTCAAGTGATTCTCCTGCCTCAGCCTCCTGAGTAGCTGGGACTACAGGTGCATGCCACCACGCCTAGCTAATTTTTGTATTTTTATTAGAGATGCGGTTTTGCCATGTTGGCCAGGATGGTCTCCATATCTTGGCTTCTTGATTCGTCCTCCTTGGCCTCCCAAAGTGCTGGGATTACAGGTGTGAGCCACTGCACCCAGCCTGGCCATTTTTATTGTCATCCTTGGGCTTGAACGGAAGGCTGTGGCTGGGTTGCAAAAGACAGTGTGATCTTTAGCCACGTGGGAGCCATTGAATGCACAATACAAACAGCAGGTAATCTTTTTATTTTGAGACAGAGTTTCGCTCTTGTTGCCCAGGCTGGAATGCAATGGCGTGATCTCTGCTCACCGCAACCTCTGCCTCCTGGGTTCAAACGATTCTCCTGCCTCAGCCTTCCAAGGAGCTGGGATTACAGGCATGTATCACCACACCCAGCTGATTTTGTATTTTTAGTAGAGATGGGGTTTCTCCACGTTGATCAGGCTGGTCTCGAACTCCTGACCTCAGGTGATCCACCTGCCTCGGCCTCCCAAAGAGCTTTGATTACAAGCCTCTTATTCGAAATTGTCTCCTCTTCTCCCGCAGAATGGATTCTGCAAGAAAAGCCAGCTGTCCCACGCGTGATGTTTCTGGTGACTTCAGTGATATTTCCTTAGAAGATGCAACAATGGAAGAAATCAGAAACTACCAGATCAGTAGAAATCTTACCAAAATAGCCCCAGAGCGTAGCAGATTTCTAAAAAGAAACCAAACTCTAGGTGAAAAACACTTACACCTGAAAGAGAACGCTGTGCTGGGGCGTGGACCCGGGCTTGCCTCAAGTAGACCGCCCACCACTGCATCCGGGATCCGAGCTAATGCCGCACTCATGAAGCTGGCCCAGCTAGAAACACGGATCATGAATCGGAAGGTGCAGAGGAATTTGTCTGGCACGGAGTCTGACTCAGTGGGCACTGAAGCCAGTCTTCCAAAGAGAGCTGACAACATTCCCCCCGGGGGTAGAGTCGAACTGTGGTCCCAGAACACAGAAAAAACTTCCCAGAAACAAGCCCCTGAACTTCCTGTCACCGAAAATAATGCACAGAACGCGAAGGTCAGTAAGTTTCTAAAGAAAAAACAACCACCTGCTGAAAACGTATCCTCCGAAGCACCTGTTGGAAAAGAGAGGACTTTGCAAACCTCCAGACAGAAGAAAGAACCTGCTAGAACATTTGATTCTCCAGACAGTGATGAAGAGGAAATGAAAGCATTGCTAGGAAGCTTGATGGACTCTTCTAGAGAAAAAAAAACAAATCAAGGCTCCAGCAGCGCTGAAGTTAGCGAGGAAGAAGAAATAAAACTGTTTTCGGTAAGGTGTTTTTTAAAAAAATTTATTTTTATTATTTTTTCAGACAGCTTCATTCTTGTCATCCAGGCTGGAGTGCAGTGGTATGATCTTGGTTCACTGCAACCTCCGCCTCTCAGGTTCAAGCAATTCTCCTACCTTAGCCTCCGGAGTAGCTGGGACTATAGGTGTGTATCACCTTGCCTGGCTAATTTGTGTGTGTGTGTGTGTGTGTGTGTTTTTAGTAGAGACAGGGTTTCACTGTGTTAGACAGGATGGTCTCGATCTCCTGATCTTGTAATCTGCCTGCTTTGGCCTCCCAAAATGCTGGGATTATAGGCGTGAGCCACGGCGCCCTGCCTGTTTTTTATTTTTTACTTTATTTTTTTTTTGAGATGGAGTCTTGCTCTGCCTTTCAGGCTAGAGTGCATTGACATGATCTTGGCTCACTGCAACTTCCATCTTCCAGATTCCAAAGATTCTCATGCCTCAGCCTCCCAAGTAGATGGGGTTATAGGCACCCGCCACCACATCCAGCTTATTAATTATTTGTTTATTTTATTTTATTTTGAGACAGAGCTTCGCTTTTGTTGCCCAGGCTGGAGTGCAATGGTGCAATCAGCTCACTGCAACCTCCGCCTCCCAGGTTCAAGCAATTCTCCTGCCTTAGCCTCCTGAGTAGCTGGGATTACAGGCACCTGCCACCATGCCTGGCTAATTTTTTGTATTTTGAGTAGAGACGGGGTTTCACCATGTTGGTCAGGCTGGTCTTGAACTGTGACCTCAGGTGATCCACCCACCTCGGCCTCCCAAAGTGCTGGGATTACAGGCATGAACCACCCAGCCCAGTTATCTATCTGTCTATCTATTTATTGTTTTTGAGGCAGAGTCTCTGTTGCCCAGGCTGGAATGCAGTGGCGTAATCTCGGCTCATCCCAAACTCCGCCTCCCGGGTTCAAGCGATTCTCCTGCCTCAGCCTCCCTAGTAGCTGGGACTATAGGCATGCGCCACCATGCCCAGCTATTTTTTTTTTTTTTTTAGTAGAGTTGGGGTTTCACTATCTTGAGCAGACTTGTCTCAAATCCTGACCCTCTGATCCGCCTGCCTTCTTGGCCTCCCAAAGTGCTGGGATTACAGGCATGAACTACTGTGCCTGGCCTATTTGTTTATTTGAGAGAAGGATTTTGTTGTTGTTGTTGTGTTTTTTATTTTATTTTTTATTTGTTTTTAGAGATGGGATTTCATCATGTTGTTCAGGCTGGTCTCGAACTCCTGACCTCATGATCCTGCCACCTCGGCCTCCCAAAGTGCTGGGATTACAGAAGTGAGCTGCCATTTCCAGCCTCAAGATTTATTTTCGTTCTTTCTTTTTTTTTTTGAGACAGAGTTTTACTCTCATCGCCCAAGCTGGAGTACAACGACGTGATCTCAGCTCACTGCAACCTCCGCCTCCCGGTTCAAGCGATTCTCCTGCCTCAGCCTNCATCCTGGCTAACGTGGTGAAACCCCATCTCTACTAAATATACAGAAATTAGCTGGGCATGGCAGCGAGGGGGCTGAGGCAGGACAATTGCTTGAATCTGGGAGGCAGAGGCTGCAGTGAGCCACAGAGAAAAAAATTTTTTTTTAAACCCAAAAACCTGCTGGAGCACTAGAATCTCCAACCCCACACTCCTGGGTCCCGGCACACACCTCATTCAGGCACCGGCCTCCACCCTAAGGTTCTGCAGTGCCTTTGACTTGCTGCACTGTGTGTTTTGTTTTGTTTTATTTTTCAGAACCCATAGTCTATGAACTTGCTGTAAATGACAACATAGGATGCTTTGGGGCCATGTCTCAGGTCTGCCCCTGCCCCGAAGTCTGTCCCCTGCTTCCTCCCCAGCTGGCTTCCGCCCCTTACACCACACTCGCACTTCTCAGCACCTTCTTGCAGTGCACTTTGATCAGCTGCTAATCTGTCCAGACCAAGGGCCAGCGGGCCTGTTGTCTGTCGTTATAAAGCTTTCTTGGAAGGCCCCCATGATCCTTCCTTCACCCATTGTCTATGGCTGCTTTCACACTGTGACTGTGGAGCTGAGTAGTCACAACTGACACACTGTCCCCAAAAGCTGGACAGGTGCACACCACCTTGCCAGGCTAATGTTTTAATTTTTTTGTAGAGATGGGGTCTCACTTTGTTGCCCAGGCTGGTCTCAAATACCTGGGCTCAAGCGATCCTCCTGCCTCAGCCTCCCAAAGTGTTGGGATTGCAGGTGTGAACCACCATGCCTTGCCCCGCCTAGTCCTGTAGAGAAAAGGCGTGTTGACTCCTGGGCTGGTGTTTTGAGGACAGGGACTGCATGTCTTCATATCTTTCTTTTTTTTTTTTTTTTTTTTTGAGACATGGTGTCACTCTGTCACCCAGGCTGGAGTACAGTGGGTATAATCATAGCTCACTGCAGCCTCAATCTCCTAGGTACAAGTGAACCTCCTGCCTCAGCCTCCCAAGTAGTTGGTACTACAGCTGTGCACCACCATGCCCAGCTTATGTTTACAATTTTTGTAGAGACAAGGTCTTGCTATGTTGCCCGGGCTGGTTTCGAACTCCTGAGCTCAAGCGATCCTCCCAACTGGGCCTCCCAAAGTGCTGGGATTACCATGTGAGCTACAGTGCCCAGCCAGAAGGCTACATTTTATGGGGGAGGATTTCCATTTTCATTCTGATTCTGTTGAAGGTCCAGGCGACCATAGCTTAGTCCTCATAGGGCTAGAAGGGCCTTAATTTAGAAAATGTGTAATTATGCAGGTGCAGTGGCTCATACCTTTAATCTCAGCACTTTGGGAGGCCAAGGCAGGAAGATCACTTCAGGTCAGGAGTTCGAGACCAGCCCGGCCAACATGGTGAAATCACATCTCTACTAAAAACACAAAAATTAGTCAGGTGGAGTGGTGCGCGCCTGTAGTCCCAGCTACTCCAGGAGGCTTAAGCAGGAGAATCACTTGAGCTTGGGAGGCTGAGGTTGCTGTGAGCCAAGATAGTGCCACTGCATTCCAGCCTTAGTGACAAAGTGAAATTTCGTCTCAAAAAATAATAATAAAAAGAAAATATGTAATTAACAATATCTATTTGAAAGCAAAGTGATATTTCTGATTATTTGTAGAGTCTTTGTTTTGTTTTGTTTTTGAAATGGAGTCTTGTTCTGTCGCCCAGGCTGGAATGTAGTGGCATGATCTCAGCTCACTGCAACCTCCTCCTCCTGGGTTCAAGTGATTCTTCTGCCTCAGCCTCCTGAGTAAATGGGACTACAGGTGTGTACCACTACACCCGGCTAATTTTTGTATTTTTAGTAGAGATGGGGTTTCACTATAATGGCCAAGCTGGTCTTGAACTCCTGACCTCATGATTCGCCTACCTTGGCATCCCAAGGTGCTGGGATTACAGGTGTGAGCCATCGCATCCAGCCTTTTTTTTTTTTTTTTTTTTTGAGATAGAGTTTCATTCTTGTTGCTCAGACTGGAGTGCAATGGTGTGATCTTGGCTCACTGCCACCCACCTCCTGGGTTCAAGCGATTCTCCTGCCTTAGCCTCCTGAGTAGCTGGGATTACAGGCACGCACTACCATGTCCGGCTGATTTTGTATTTTTAGTAGATATGGGGTTTCTCCATGTTGGTCAGGCTGGTCTCAAACTCCTGACCTCAGGCGATCCACCCACCTCGGCCTCCCAAAGTGCTGGGATTACAGGCATGAGCCACCGTGCCTGTCCTATTTGTGGAGTATTTTCTACTCCCAACATTATCTTACCTAAATATTGGACCCTGACCTTCAGAAATAGAATGGGGATGCAGCAAGAGGAAACTGTGATCCCTGCCGTCTTGGTCTCATGCTCCCCGCTAACTCCACTGTCTGTTGAACCATAAGAACATAGGTATCAGAGCTGAGCACAGTGGCTCATGCCTGTAATCCTAGAACTTTGGGATGCCGAGGCGGGCGGATCACGAGGTCAAGAGATCAAGACCACCCTGGCCAACATGGTGAAAACCCGTCTCTACTAAAAAAAATAAAAATATTAGCTGGGTGTGGTGGCACACGCCTGTAGTCCCAGCTATTCAGGAGGCTGAGGCAGGAGAATTGCTTGAACCCGGCAGGCGGAGGTTGCAGTGAGCCGAGATCATGCCACTGCACTCCAGCCTGGCGACAGAGCAAGACTCTGTCTCAAAAAAAAAAAAAAAGGGGAGGGCCAGGTATGGTGGCTCACACCTGTAATCCCAGCATTTTGGGAGGCTGAGATGGGTAGATGGCTTTAGCCCAGGAGTTCAAGGCTGGCCTGGGCAACATGGCAAAACCCATTCCTACCAAGATAATAAAATTAGCCAGGTGTGGTGGCGTGTGCTTCTAGTCCCAGCTGTTTGGGAGGCTGAGATGGGAGGATTACTTGAGCCCAGGATGTCGAGGCCACAGTGAGCTATGACTGTGCCACTGCCCTCCAGGATGGGGAACAGAATGAGACGCTGTCTCAAAAAAAAAAAAAAAAGAATTTAGTTGTTATAAGTTTGTTAATTTTGCCTGGTGCGGTGGCTCACGCCTTTAATCCTAGCACTTTGGGAGGCCAAGGTGGGTGGATCACCTGAGGTCAAGAGTTCAAGACCAGCCTGGCCATCATGGTGAAACCCCATCTTTAAAAAAATAATAATAATAATAAAAATAAGTTTGTTAATTTCAAGTATTTTATATCAGGTCCCATCTGAACAGAGAGCATTTACTGTACCCAGCGTGGAACTCTCCAGTGCAAAGCCTTCTCAGACATCATGCCTGCCAGCCTCCCTAGCAGCAGACGGGACCCTTCACAGCGCTCGCTCAAGAGCACAGTCCCCGCAGAGTCACGTTTCCGATGACACCACCTCCCACACGCCGTCGTTTTCCATCACAGGCGCCTTTTCGAAATCAGTCTCTTTAAAGATGGGGCACATCAAGCTTGCGTCCTCCCCTGGAGGGAGTGAGGCTGAGCCTGTAGACGAGTCAGTTTCAGAAGGTGCTGATGACAGCCTCGACGGTAATCCCAATCCCAGTGCAAAGCCAGTACCTTGGGCAGGAAGGGCGAGGCCACCTTTAGAGTCCCCGATGTGGTGGTCACAGGGTATTACCCAGGCAGGAAATTTTGAGCCACATCACACACTCTCAACTTGCTTTTTTTTTAAATTCTGAGACGGAGTCTTACTCTGTCATGAAGGCTGGAGTGCTGTGGCATGATCTCGGCTCACTGCAACCTCCGCCTCCTGAGTTCAAGTGATTCTCCTGCCTCAGCCTCCCGAGTAGCTGGGGCTATAGGCATGCACCACCACGCCTGGCTAATTTTTGTATTTTTTTAGTAGAAATGGGGTTTTACCATATTAGGCTGGTCCCTAACCCCTGACCTCGTGATCCGACTGCCTTGGTCTCCCAGGAGGTCAAGATATCGAGACCATCCTGGCTAACGTGGTGAAACCCCATCTCTACTAAATATACAGAAATTAGCTGGGCATGGCAGCGAGGGGGCTGAGGCAGGACAATTGCTTGAATCTGGGAGGCAGAGGCTGCAGTGAGCCACAGAGAAAAAAATTTTTTTTTAAACCCAAAAACCTGCTGGAGCACTAGAATCTCCAACCCCACACTCCTGGGTCCCGGCACACACCTCATTCAGGCACCGGCCTCCACCCTAAGGTTCTGCAGTGCCTTTGACTTGCTGCACTGTGTGTTTTGTTTTGTTTTATTTTTCAGAACCCATAGTCTATGAACTTGCTGTAAATGACAACATAGGATGCTTTGGGGCCATGTCTCAGGTCTGCCCCTGCCCCGAAGTCTGTCCCCTGCTTCCTCCCCAGCTGGCTTCCGCCCCTTACACCACACTCGCACTTCTCAGCACCTTCTTGCAGTGCACTTTGATCAGCTGCTAATCTGTCCAGACCAAGGGCCAGCGGGCCTGTTGTCTGTCGTTATAAAGCTTTCTTGGAAGGCCCCCATGATCCTTCCTTCACCCATTGTCTATGGCTGCTTTCACACTGTGACTGTGGAGCTGAGTAGTCACAACTGACACACTGTCCCCAAAAGCTGGACAGGTGCACACCACCTTGCCAGGCTAATGTTTTAATTTTTTTGTAGAGATGGGGTCTCACTTTGTTGCCCAGGCTGGTCTCAAATACCTGGGCTCAAGCGATCCTCCTGCCTCAGCCTCCCAAAGTGTTGGGATTGCAGGTGTGAACCACCATGCCTTGCCCCGCCTAGTCCTGTAGAGAAAAGGCGTGTTGACTCCTGGGCTGGTGTTTTGAGGACAGGGACTGCATGTCTTCATATCTTTCTTTTTTTTTTTTTTTTTTTTTGAGACATGGTGTCACTCTGTCACCCAGGCTGGAGTACAGTGGGTATAATCATAGCTCACTG